GATCAAACCTTACGAAGAATGTCAAGGGGATTAAAGAGTTCAACTTATCATGATGAGCACTGAGTAACAGACAGAACTGTTGAATCACTGTATTGTACACCAAAACTAATATAATGCTGTTATATTACCTATACTGGAATGAAAATAAAAATCTTAATAAAACTTAAAGAATTTCCAGAAGACAAAGGCAGGGCATTTGAGGTTCAGAGCCCTTCTGAATGTGGTGCCCTGAGTGACTGCCCAGGCCGTGCGTCCATGAAGCTGGCCCTGCCTTCATACATTTTTAAATTAGCACAGAAAAAACATATATATAAATAAACAAGTTGCAAAAGATATAATTTCAGTATATTGTATACTTGATTTAAAAATATTTTCAGGTGCCTGGGTGGCTCAGTGGGTTAAAGCCTCTGCCTTCGGCTCAGGTCATGATCTCAGGGTCCTGGGATTGAACTCCACATCAGGCTCTCTGCTCAGCAGGGAGCCAGCTTCCCCACTCTTTCTCTCTGCCTGCCTCTCTACCTACTTGTGATCTCTGTCTGTCAAATAAATTTAAAAAAATCTTTAAAAAAATTTTCTTCCAGTTCTTAGAGCAGCATAACAAGCTTATTTAACGTATGAGAAATGTTTGTCATGTTGGCTCATCAACGTTGAATGGATAGTCAAACTATGGTACTTCCACACCATGGACAACTACCCAGCAGTAAGAAAGAATGTGTATGGGTCCATACTACAACATGAGTGAATCACAAAATAATTATGCTGAGGGAAAGAACTCAGGCAAGGCAGTTCATACTACATGAAATGCAAAATATTCATAGAGACAGAAAGCAGATCAGTGGTTGCCTGGGGAGAGGGGATGGAGTGGAGGGATGGATTACAGTCGGGTGGAGCCATGTGGCTAACATCTCACCCACAGAACTTGAGTGGAAATGATGGATAGTCATTTCTGGGTATTGCTCATAAAAACATACCATGCAACCCTCACTCTATCTTTTTCCCCATTTTCTAGATGATTGGAGAGAACACAGATGAAAGGACATGTCACAAGAGAGAAGGGACCAGATTCCTGAATGACTGCATGAAACAAATCCCCGTGGACTGGCATGGGACGTGACATGAAAAAGAACTATACTACTATGGTATTAGACCCCTAACATGTTGGGATTGTTTGTTACAGCTGTTGGCCCACCCTAACGAATACATCTCCAGTGTTCTCTCTGCCAAAAGATAGCTGGCCAGTCTTCGCAAAGTTAAGGTTCCACCCTGGGGGCTTAGGCTGGTTTCCTGAGGTTGACAGACTGGACTCAGCAGTGATAGAGGTGAGGCCATCTGTGGGAGGAAGGAGCTGGTGTTGCCCGGCCAGTTTTGTCATAAAGCTGCTGAGAAAGTCCCAGAGTGGTTGCAGAAGGGGACTGCCTGATGGTCACAGGTATCATACTGCCACCATGTAGAAGAGGTTCTCCCACAGTGAGAGCCTTTTGGTGAATGTCCATCTGAGACACAAATCACTTTATGCTCTGAAGCCATTCTGGGCACTTTATGCACATTTATCTTCCTCAAAACTTCCTGTCACTAACCTTCAGTCTGTTTCCTTCCAAATCTCTGCCCAATAGACTAAATGATCCAAAGCCCAGGAATCAGTGTGCCTGTACTTCAGGCCTTCTGGGCACACTTCCCTTTTCTAGGTCCCTTAGGCCCTCTTGAAGGCAGGCGGGAACCCCACAGAAGCCACTTCTGGCTGAAGTCACATACTGTGCAGAGCCATCTATAAATTGGGCTTTAAACTTTTCTTTCTCAGGCAACTCATCATCAAATCATCATAAATGATTCTCCATGAGACCATGAATACCAGAAGCAGGAGAGGAATGTAAACAACTTGCTCAGGCAGCCTACTGTACTTCTGTCTTCAGGGCTTGCTTGGACCCAAGCCACATACGTCACTCCTCTTAACAATGGAGTGCTGCTGACCACCCCTGATTTTATGGCTGCGTTGATGGGATAACATGGTAGCTCGGGTCACATGATAACCTGGTATGTCATGGTCAGGCAACCAATTTCACCAGACCCCTGGAGCAAGCCAGGAACATCTCAAAAGGAGAATAACTATTTGCCAAAGGAGGGTATAACTTTGTTCCAAAATCCGATGCCTAAGTATAAAGACCAAAGGTAGAACTACTTACTCTGCAAGCTGATCCAATAAGAAAACCTTCCCTCCTCATTCGGTCCCCCATAAAGTTGACAGCTTTCAAGTGATGCAGTAATAGGTAAAAATAATTAAATACAGCATATTTTACCATTCAAGTCTAAAGAAGCCCAAGTATGGTACCTGCTTATTAGTGATAGGGAGTATGATGTACAGCAACCTGTCCTTCATTTTATGGGGAAGAGCTCAACATATCCCAGACCCCTGGATAGTGTAGATAGTGGAGAGACTGCTGCATATATTTGGTTTTTTAAATTTACTTATTTGACAGAGAGAGAGTGAGCATGAGCGGGAGGGGCAAAGGAAGGGAGAGAGCATCCCAAGTGGAATCCACACTCAGCACAGAGCCCGATGCAGGGCTTGATCTCATGACCCTGAGATCACAACCTGAGTTGAAACACTTAACTGACTATGCCCCCCGGGCACCCCTGCAGACAGACCACTGAGATTTATTATCTGCCTTCCAGCACACACATCATGCTTACCAAGTCATCTAGGGCCTCTCCTACTTCCTGTTCTCAAGGTCCATCAGAATGATGTCATCAATGTCACAGCAGTTTAGCCTGGTAGCCCAAGGAATGGCGATTTGGTCAAAACTTCCCATAGAGTAAATGTGTTCAGAAAGTGACATACCCCTGAAGCAAGACAGTAAAGGTTTACTAGGAGGAACACAAACTATTTCTAAAATTTGGTATAGAAGGAAAAGCATTTACTAGACCCATAGTTGTCGATTAGAGGCCAACAACTGCACCCATATGTTCCAAGAATGACCACTCTGAGAAAGTGCCCACACCTGGGGTCCTTACCAGAGTAAGTTTGCCAGAATGCTCTGTCATTCTTCAGGACCATCTATCTTCTCCATCAATAAAGAGAATGTGGCATACACACACACACACACACACACACACACGCACACATATACATATATATGTGAAAGAAATATATATAAAATACGTCTGTATAAGAACATATATTACATACATAGCGTATGTGTACAATATATATAAAGGAATATATTCATCCTTAAAAAAGAAGAAAATCCTGCCATTTCCAACAACATGGATGACTCTGGAGGACACTCTGCAAAGTGAAATAAGCCCATCACAAAAAGACAAATATTGCATAGTCTCACTTATATGTGGAATATGTTTAAAAAAAAAAAAAAGCTGAACTCATAGTAACAGAAAGAATAGTGGTTACCAGAGCTGGGTATGAAGAAAAAGAGGTTGGGTTTTGTTTAGGTTGTTTCATTTTTTGTTTTTTGTTGTTGTTTTTGTTTTTTTAAGTAGAATGGTGGTTGCCAGTGGCTGTGGGAAAGGAGAATGAGGAGTTATTTAATCAGTACGGAGTTTCAGTTTTGCGAGATGAAAAGAGCTCTGGAGAGGGATGGCAGTAATGGTTGCACCCGACGAGAATGTACTTAATGCCACTGAACTATACGCTTAAAAATGGTTAAGATCTTTAAGTTTTATGTTAGGGACATTTTAACACAATAAAAATAAATGGGAAAAAATACTATCTATCTTCTATCCTGGCCAAACTAAGAAGTAATGTTCATGTAGCAAGAATCACTCTGAATTCTTTAAATCTTTGATGATGGCACTAATCCCTAAAAAGAGATAAAGTATTTTTCATTTACGTTCTTGCTAGTTAAGGAAAGCTCCAGGGCCATGTAGCCCTTCCTCTCAAAATAGCCCTTGTTCCCATTAATTAGGCTAATGTCATAATTCTGCCCTGTTGATGATATCAATAGCAACTGTACATATAATAGCCATATAGTTTCAGGGTACCAATGGTCCTGGTATGAGAGATTGCGCTCAAAACTTTTTCTAAAATTTGTACCATGTGCATGTCTCCTATATTCAAAAAAGAGAGGGCGATACTCATTTTAACAATTAAATACGTAATTATCACATATTTTAAATGTTCCTTTGTGTACCACTCAAAATCCTTTCCTGTACATACAATTTTTGCGGAAATGCTGACCTAGTATTTGCCCCAGTCATCTCATCTTTATCACACTGGTTGTAACCGTGTATTTAACGGTCCACTTTCTCCACCAGACTGGGGCAGGAGCGGAGTCTGAGCTCTGCTGTCCCAAGCACAGAACGCTAGACTCCCCAGTCTACCATACGTTGCAAATAAAGACCTAGACCATTACTTCATCTCTTTCACCTCCTGCCGTCCACGAGACCTTGAGTTTTGGCTTGCTGATGTTGAGTCCCCGCTTCGCCTTCTGTAAGCCTTGATTTTCTCCCCTGCAAAATGGGAACGACCGTACCTGCCTCGCCGGGTGAGTGCGAGGAGTCGGATGGTGGGTGTGAAAGTACTCTAGAAATTCATTCATTCATTCATCCACTTAACAATTATTAAGCGCCCAGGGCCGGGCAGCATGGTTACCACAGCGACCACCCTTCCCCCGCGCAGGTCGCACCAGGTTCTCACACTCGCAGAACTCAGGTGACCTTATTCAAAATGGCGCAGGCAGCCTCGGGGGCTAGTGCGGCGGCGCGGACGCCGCGCCCTATGACCTGCTGGCAGCAGCAGAGGGGGGAGCCGGGCGCCGCCATATTGGCTGTTGTCCTGCGAGGGGAGCGGCGGCGGCGGCGGTGGCGGCGGCGCGAGTGGAGCGAGGGAGCGGCGCGAGCAGCAGCATGACTCGGAGGCGGAGCAGGCCGAGCGGCGGCGCGGGCCGGCGCGAGAGGATGCGGGCCGCGGGGCAGCAGAAGCCCCAGGCTCCCGAGCCCCCGCCGCCGCCGAGCCTGGAAGCGGGAGCGGGTGCAGGGCCCTCGGAGGCTCCCGTGGAACCGGACCGCGACGGCCCCAGGGAGGAGGACGAGCCCAAGTTGGCGCCCGGACCGCAGGTAGGAGCGAGCTAGGGGAGTCCGGCTGCTCCGGCACTTTCACCTCCCGGGAGCGGGGCCGGGGTGAGCTTGGGGATGGACCATCCTCCACTGGCTGGGGCTGAGGCTATCTCCCCTGAGGCGGGAGTGGAGGCTGGACCCTTCTCCAAGCCGAAGCGTGGTCCGTCCTGTCCTGTGACCAGGGCTGCCTGCCCTCTCCCGCCGCCTCCGGGCTGGAGCAAGGGCTTAAACCTTCGGGTCGTATATCCACACTGGGACTGGGCTCTGCTCCTGAGGCCACAGCTCAGCTCTCTGCCCTTCACCTCCCCCTGGGCCCACCTGCTCCCCCATCTACCCACAGACTGGGGCGCTGTGCCCTGGAAGGCTGCAGCCTCTTCCCTCTCCCCACCCCGGGAGCGGCCCCACCCTTTCCCCTCACTGCCTGCAGCCACTGCCCCCTGAGCAGCTGTGTGCCCCCAGCATATGTCTCCAGTGGCCTCCCGCTTCTCCCTGCCCAGCCGAGCAGTTGGAGCAGCCAGCCAGGCCGCCCAGAAGACTATTTGGTGGGGCTCCTGCGCTGAAGCATAAACTAGCAAAGCCTGCCCTTTCTTCCCTCTCTACCTCTGACCCCACAAGGTGGCCTACCCCAACCCTCAGATCCCCGGCTTTGGTGAATCCTGCTAAAAGTGAGCAGTAGCAGGACTCAGCAAAGCTTCCAGCTTGCCACCTGGAAGAAGGTCACTTTCTTTTGAGCAAAGGAGATAATGGGAGGTACCCTGCCAGTGTTCCTGAGAGCCCGGGGTGGCACGAGCCACAGTTGCTCTGGGAGGGTTGTGGCACCTGGGGCTGGGTGGCTCGCCCTAAGCTTGCTCTGACGAAAGAGTTTTGAGTTGGTCTTTTGGCTGAGCCTGCCAAGGAAGGCAGGCTCCTGCAGGAGTCTTGGAGGGTCGGATGCAGCGCCGGATGAGGATGAGGCGTGGCGGAAGATGCGTTTGGCTCTGCAGACACTGCATCGGGCAGCAGGGGACTCTGGGAGGCTGGTGCAGCCAGAAGGCATGGCTCTTGACAGCCTTCTAGTAGAATCTCTGGAATTGTGCATGTGAGTGGGGATGCCATTTGGGGAACCATTCCCAGAAAGCCTTCCCTGCCTTCCCAATTGCATCAGGTGCCCCCTTTGTGCCCATAGCCCCCTGTGCCTCCTTTGGTAGCACTCCCCATTCTTCATGGAGACATTCTGTTGATGTATCTGTTCCCTGCACTGCACTGTGAACTCCACAGGGGCACGGACTATGTCATCTATCTCTTATCCTCCATGCCTAGCCCTGGGCCTTGCTGACACTGAGTAGAAATAACTAGGTGAATGAGAGAGAATGAATCCGTTGAGGACCTGTGCTTATTGTAACCCAGTTTTGATGCTGGTATCCTTTGTGTTTCAGATCACAATAAGATTTTTAATTAATGAAAATGTCACCACTTATTGAGTGTCAGAAGACCCACCTTCACCCTGAGCCCCTACCCTGGGAATCAGCTCCCCAGGTTGGACCCCACCCTTGCCTGGTCTAACTTTAGACCCTGAACCTGCTTCCCCCTCTAGCTTTCCTCTTTCTCTTCTCTGGGCCACCCTGGGAATGCTATTATCCAAAAGGGGAGCATTAAGGTAGGGAGAGCCAGGGGAGCTGTTGTCTTCTCTCCTTCTCACTCACCAGCAACACTTTAAGGTCCCCTTCACTTAGCTAAGTTATAGTGTTCATGGCCAGAATTTTGGATAATGGCTTAACTATTTAGTTTTTATTTAGGACACAGCTTTCCTAAGAATTGTAAGCTTCATTATCTGCTCCACTGCTTGACCTGCCAGTTCATTAATTTATTAGTGCCAGATGCTTTATATACCATACTTCTAATCTTCCTGCCACCCCTTTTCTTTCCTCAGTATTTAATACAGTTGTGATGAGTTAACTATTGGTTTAATTATTGGTCTGCTTTTGCTGCATAAACTCTGAGAGTGCAGGAACCACGTCAGTCACTCTTGTACCCCTATGCCTGTGGTGAACAGATGTTTAATGAATGAACTGAAAGGTATAAATACTATTTCCCCATTTTTCAGATGAAGAAACAGAAACTCAGAGCAAGAAAACATTTGCTCATATAACTCCCACTATAGGTCTCAGGTGCCTTCTGCCCCTCCAAAAAAGGATACTCTTTTGTGTACTGTGTGGGGTTTAACAAGGCCTTTTTTTAAAATATACTATAGCCACAAAGAGGTGAAACAAACTGACGAACTCTCTTCTGATTGTACCTCACTTTTTTGCTGGGGAGGGGGTTTCTTAATCCAGAAGTAGGCTTTTGTGCCCTGGTGAAAAGCACCTGCTGAAAGGGTTGGGGTCACTTAAAATTCTCAGTGTACACAGAGTGGGCACGTAAGGTGAAACTCTGTGTTGCATGCCAAACTGAAGCCAAAGACAACAAATAGGACCACTTGTAGTCCTCAGACAGGTTCTGAAGCCCCACGTCACACATTGTTTTATTTTAATTTAAGCCATTTTTTAAAAAACCATAAGATTCCCACAAAATGGATTTGTGCCATTTCTTAAAACTCTAAAAATCTGGTGTTGCTGGGCCCACATTTCTGTAAGACAGTGATCTGCAGTCTCTGAATAGTGTCTGCCCCTAATAAGAAGGACACCTGATCTGTGCCAGGCCCTGGGTTAGCTGGGAATGCAGAAGTGAATCAGATGTGGTCCCTGCCCACAAAGGGCTCATGGTCCAGGGAACACGTACACAGTAATTGAGTTAGGCTGAAGAGCCAGGATTCCTGAGTTCAGGTTTGAAGGCCACTCTGGTTCTATCCTGTCCCCTTTGCTCATTTGCATAACTTGTTCACATTTAAATGCAGAACCTTAAGCTGGCCTATTTGGGATCCCAAAAGCCCTTCCAGTTGTTTGAGGTCACTAAACTGCATTGATCTGTTTACTTAAACAATCCATATCCTCATTTACTAAATAAGACTAAAACAGTTACTACCTTATTATCAAAGGAAAAAAAAAAAAGAAAGAAAAACAGCTTACAAAGCAGCTGAATAAGGCAGTAGTGAGAAATAGTGTTTAGTATTCCAGACTTGTGGTGAACTCCCAAGCTCAGTCTCTAACTTTGTGACTCTGGGCATGTTTTTTCCTCTTCTAAGCCTCATCAGCAATGTCATAAGAGAATGTGGAGCAACCCACGTAGCACCAAGTACATCGAGGCTCCGGAGGCAAGAGCAGGAGTCAGAGATAGTTGGAACTGTGCCAGATGGCCATCCAGAGCCTGAGTGTTCTCACCTGCCAGTTCTGCTGTCTGTCTTTTGGCCTCTCTTGGACCACTCAGCCTGCAGTCCAGGTGCATACTCAGTAAACCCTCAGGAGACTTGCCAGACTGTAAACCAGCAGTTGGAGCTGGTTGAGCTCATCTTGCCCTTCCCATCTCTCATCTCTCTACAGCACTTGCTGAGACCTGCCCAGCCCAGTTTAAAGAGAGTTTAAAGAGACTCTAGAGACCTGGTTCCCCACTGCTCAGAGTTAAACCTGCTGCCTCAAGAGACTGGAGCAGAGGATCAGTCAATATCTTTATTGAAACCATCTCATTATGTTTAATCCACTCAGCAAGCATTATGACCTTTATTTTGGGTACACAGATGAATAAGATAGTTCCTCTAACTAGGGACCTCTCTCAAAATCACTGCAAACCCAGTCTAGACACTTTCATTGCAAGTAGTAGGTAATGATATGGGCGGTGGGGGGGGTGGGGAAACCCTGCCACCTCTGGTTCTTCTCTGTAAGCCAGTAGAGATTCTCTAAAGTAGAAATGCTAAAAGGCCTTTGAAGATGAAGACTTACTTGCTAAGATTGTTTAATTTTTAAATTCCTTAAAAAGTTTTTATTTTTTTTTTTAAAGTTTTTATTTTTGATTTTCTTAAAATGTCCCAGATCTATAAACTTAACATCTGGTATTAAATAGCCTATTAATATCCTGACACCTTTATATCCTGAACCTAGAAATTTTGAGAGCAAGGGCTATGTTTTAATTTATTTGTGGGGTATTTATTGTACATGGTCCTTATGTGCTCTATAAGTGGCTGTTAAACCAAAGTATAATAAAAGAAGTAAAAGTGAGGTTTCTTCCACTTTGTTCTTAACCAGCCTCTACTGCTGGGCCAGGCTGGCCATCATTCATTCATTTAGGCCCATTACACACACACCACACCCAGTCTCCCTCTCGCCTGACCTGGTGTTAATTTATTCTGCAGACACTAATGGACACGTGATCTGTGCCAGGCCCTGGGCTAGCTGGGGATGCAAAGGTGAATCAGTCCCTGCCCACGTGTATATATTAATTGTAGTTAGGCTAGAAGAGCATCACTTCCTCTGAGTGAAGGTTCAAGTCTTAGATCCTAGTACATGGCCTTTGGAAGAGTTTTAGCCTTTTTAGTTTGTTTTCTCACGTGTGTGACAGTGATGCCAGGTTCCCTTTAGGGCAGCAAGTACTGTATGTCAAGCACTTAGTACAAGTGGCAGTCATGATTATTATAGATACTTGGTGTGGGAGATGCACAGAAATAATAGTCTAGAGAAGGCTTCTCAGAACTAATGTTTCAAGGTTGAGTAGCAGTTCCTTTAGAAGGGATGGTGGGAGAAAATATCTAAACAAAAAAAGACCCAGAGGCGAGAACTGCCCATCTCAGGCAGAGTAGCATGCAGTCAGGCTGGAGAGGTTAGCAAGGTTCTACAAAACCACACCAAGAAGTTTGGGCTTTATCCTGCAGGCAGTGAAGAATCAGTGGAAGCTTCTAAATAAGAAAGTGAACATGATGTTCTTGGGTAAATTCGTTGAGAGCATGAGAGGAAGCCATCTCAGCGCAAGAAGCAGCTGTGATTGCTTCATTCTACTCTCCCTTACCCCAACCTAACTAATCATCGATCCCCGGTACTTTGCTCGACCCTGTCCCAGACCTACAGAATCAGAGTCTCTGGGTCTGGAGCCCAGGAATCTGTGGTTGCTAAACCTCCCAAAGTGATTCTGTTGTGTGGCTGGGTCTGGGAAATGCTGAGTTGAGGGCGGCATGGGGAAGCTTTGCGGAAGCCTAGGATGTTTTTCAAAGAATGGGGCTTCCCAGAGAGGGGAGCTTTTCCTTAAGCAGGAATAGAAACAGCCTTAGTTTTAAAAACAAAACAGAGTTTCCCCAGTTTTCCATTTGTTGCCCCATGAAGATATTCTGCAACTGCTTATCTTCCTTTGTGTGTCCAAACACTTACCCATGCCCATTTGGTGCTGCCATCTCTGCTGAACAATTGGGATGCAGTAAGTCATGAGGCACAGGTCCTGCCCTTCAGTGTCTTAGTGTTCTGGAGAAGACAGATTTCAAAAACGGATACATAGATGATAAGCTCTATTCAAGAGATACGTAAGAAATGTTAGGACATTCCACAGCAAAGCACAGTTTATTCTGCCTGTGGACTTAGGAGGAGGTAACACTCAAATTGTGCAAGGAAGAGGCAGAGGGAAAAGCATGAGTGAAGATGTAAGTGCTTTATGTATTTGAGGAGAGAAACAGATATTAGGGAAAGGAATGGTTAATGACTCTTCCTGGCAGGATGTGCAGAGCAGAAAAGGACTGAGGAGAGGAGGTCTTACATCTCAGGAAAGGCCCTGTGTTTGCACCCTTTGGTTCTGTCCCCATGGTTCCCCCCTCATCCTTCAACCTGTAGGTGGATGAACATGCTACAGTCCTAGACCATCTCCCTTTAGACCCTCCTCAAGGCTCTCAGCTCTCCAGCTCCCTTTGTGGTTCCCCCTCCATTCTGAAATGAATAGACCTCTTCATCTACTCTGAATAGTGATAAAGGAAAACTGAGGCAAAAAGAAGGGCCCTAAAATACTGAAGGGTCTTACTAGGAAGTTGTAGCCAGAAATTGTGGATGGGAGGGTACAAAGGGGCCTTGAAGGTCACCTGTCTAGTCCTCTGTCCTGTGCTTCAAGTAATAACTTTGGATTGGGCAAGTCTCACTTAGTAAGTTTCCCTGTCATTTCTTCCAGGACAGAAGAGGAAAGAAACTAACGGGTATT